CGAGTGCTACGACGAACAGGCTGGGTAGCGGCGTCAGTAGGTACACGTACTGATGAAGTTGGGGAAGGGGTATGACTAGCGGAGTCAACACACGGGGGAACATACGGACGGAGAAAGCGGCGATTACGCCAGAGGACACGGCCACTGGGCATCTTGACGAAGTAGTCGCGCCGACTGCCAATTGCTACAATGACGCCACGCATGGACCACAGCTTGGTCTGGTGGTGCTGAACATCAACATGGGTGCCAATCCGTAGAGAATGGAGAGGGCGTGCCGATTTGTCATAATGTGTTTTCGGATCTACAGAGTCCACAGCTTCAGCAGACGCAATCCAGTGTCGATCAAAGCTGGCACGGTGGGCGAACACAAACGACTGGAGGGACTGACCGAACAACACTTGGGCGGGGCTGCTGCCATTAGGGCGGGGAGTATTGCGCCACTCCAACAGGCCGCGTTGGAAGGAGTCTACATTCAGATCTCCATTCCGGGTCGTCTTCTCAATGAGCAGTTTCACTGCTTTCACTGCTGATTCCGCGTGGCCATTGGATTGAGGGTAGTGTGGGGTGGAAAAGCACTGTTCCACACCCCAACGCTCACAGAACTCACGTACACGGGAAGCGGCAAACTGCGGGCCTCCATCAGTGAATATCTTGCGCGGTACGCCAACATCTGCGAACCAACGGCGGAAGTGACAAATGATGTCATGGGAGGTAGCGGTACGACCAATTCGAGCTACACACGGCCAGCCGGACAGACGGTCAGAATATACCAGGAACTGCCAGCCTTGACAGGAGAAGAGATCTGCGCTGGCATACTCGAATGGAAATGTCGGCTGTGGCTCGCGCATCAATGGCTCCTTCTGCTGCGAACGTTGGAGCTCACGACAGACAGGGCAGGCACGGATCAGGGCTGTGATGTCATCACTCATCCTCGGCCAGTAAACCACTTGACGCGCACGACGCTTGGTACGTTCCAGGCCCTGGTGAGACGAATGCAGGTCAGTCAGTACACGGCGTTGTAGAGACTGGGGCACAACAAGACGAGAGCCACGGAGGACAATGCCGTTATCCAGGGTGAGGTGCTCACGGCCATTCCAATACGGAGCGAGAGCAGGTGGCATGTGACGTCTGGCAGAAGGGAAGCCGTCACGAATATAGGAGACTAACTGCACGTAATCAACGTCAGACTGAGCGGCATCGCGGAGCTCGTGGAACGGAAGACCAAATAGTGCTGATCCGGAGGCATCCTGCTGAAGGCATGCACGGATGGCTTGTCCAGATAGCGAGTCGGCTTCTCCCAGGAGATCATCGGCAACCGGGTTCTGCACTGGAGCACGCGACAAGGCGTCGGCAAAGGCATGCTCAGAGCCCTTGCGCCACGAGACGTCGAATTGATAGAGTTGTACCTTGGTCATCAGACGTTGGAGCCGAGGATTCTCAACCTGGTCCAGTGTGTAGGTGTTCAATATTGGAACAAGGGGCTGATGGTCAACAACTACATGAAACGACATGCCAGCAAGATAGGTGTGGCATTTTCGGATGGCCCAGGCGACACCCAACATCTCCAGTTCGATCATTGCGTACCGGGATTCGGTGTCGGTGATGAATCTGCTGCCGCACTGAATGAGGCGCCACGAATTATTCTGGTACTGCCAGAGGCCAAATCCGAGACCCTTGGTCCTAGCGGCGTCACACTCGAGACGTGTCTGTGCTGACGGGTCAAAGAAGGCCAATAACGGTGGGTCAACAAGTGCTTGCTTCACAGCGTCCATAGCGACTGTGTGCTCGGGTAGCCAGAGAAACTCATTCTTGGCTTTCAGCAGACCGCGGAGAGGCGCTGCGTGTTCGGCGATGGTTGAGCTGAAATCACTGCACTGGTTGACGAGACCCATGAATGATCGCAAGTCAGTGCGATTGGCAGGGATCTCGAAGTCGGTGATAGCGCGGGTCTTTTCCTGGTCTGTCTTCCAGCCGGACTTGTTTATCACGTAGCCGCAGAAATTGATCTCGGTCTCGGCGAAAGCAAACTTCTTGGCTGACAGGGTGATACCATACCGACGAGCGCGTTGAAGAACTTCACGAGTTCGTTCCAGGTGCTGCTCAAAGGAATCAGTGAAGACCAGGCAGTCATCCACGACCTTGGAGAATTGCTCAATACCAGCGAATGCTGCATCGGTCCGCTGGTTGAATTCGTTGCCAGCAGAAATCAGACCTTGTGGGTTCCGCAGGTACTGATATCTGCCCCACTGTGTGATAAATGTGGTCAAGCTTCTGGACTCCTCGTCCAAGGGGACCTGCCAGTAGCCGTGGCGAGCATCCAGCTTGGTAAAATACTGGGCATTACCAAGGTTAGAAACAACATCGCGAGGTGCGCGCATGGGATGCGCGGGCCGGGCGACTTGCTTGTTAAGCTTAGTGAAATCCACCGTCATCCGGACTTCTGCAGTGCCTTTCTTTTCGGCTATGACGATGGGGTGACACCACTCCGTTGGCTCTGAGACCGGTGCGATGATGCCATCTGCGACCATCTTGTCCAGCTGGAGTTTCACCTGGTCACGATAGGCGTAAGGTAACCAACGGGCATTGTTCAACTTGAACGGCTGGGCGTCAGGCGCGAGTTGGATGTGCATCGGCTGACCGTCCATGGGTCGGAGCGTGTCCTCTGCAAATACGTCAGCGAACTCGTCGAGGAGGTCCTGGCGGATACGTACACGCTGGTCTGGTGTAGGGTTGCTGTGCTCTGCAGAACGGGATGTCCCTTGTGTCACTGAAGCGATCTGTGGCCAGTTAGGCGGCAAGAAACCTAACGCCTTGAGCGAGGAGCGCGACAGCAATGCGCTACTGAGTTCGTCATACACATGTAGACGAGTGGTGTGCGTGACATCACGAGCGACAACCCTGGCGGGAACAGTTCCCAAGCTGGTCAATGGCTGACCGTTCACGGCGACAACATGGTCGGGGTCAGGTTCCAGATCAGCTACACTGCCACCAAGTCTGCGGAGATGACTAGCACCAATAGCATCAACATCCGAGCCAGTATCTGGCAACCACTCTAACGTGCACGACCGGTCGTTGTCGTCAAGACGTGTTGACAGCATCACTTTGTCACCAGCCTGCACTGCGTGAATGGTGAGGCATGCGATGGTCTTGCGGCACATTGCCGCGAAGTGATCCCTGCCCTTACACTTACGGCACTCTTTGCCCTTGGCAGGACACATTGACTTCGTGTGCTGGGATCGTCCGCACTGCGAGCACTTCGCCGGCTTGTCAGCTGCAGCAGATTTCGGCTTACTAACCAAAGCGGATTTGCTGCGTTGATACGATGACCTTGTTGCGGCATTCACGGATGCCGGTACCATGCCGTCACCGGTCTGCTGTGCGGCTTCTTCAGCCCTGCAGATCTTGGCCGCGGTTTCCAGGGTGAGGGACGGAGCTGCCAGGAGCTTATGGCGCGTGTCGTCGTTGGCTATGCCAACTACGATGCGGTCTCGCATCATGTCGTCCGTCACCTTGCGGAGGCTCTGGGGACAAGTACTGCATAGCTGAGGTGTACACGTACTGCACAGCTCCATATCAGGGAAATCGCACTGTGCAAACAGCTCCCTCATTGCAGTAAAGAAGGAGTCAAATGACTCATTGCGCTGCTGCTTTCTATCGTAAAACGCAATTCGATCTAGGAGGGGGTTCCGTTGGCGTCGGATGTACGCTTTTACTGCTATGATGATCTCCGGAGCATCGGCACTGTGGGATATGACAATCACATCTTCGCGCATGAAACGACGAATGTCGGCATCGAACGCCTGGCGAAGAGCGGACACCCGAGTCTCACGACTTTGGCTGGCGAGGTGCTGGCACACAGCATAATCTCTCCAAGCCTCCTCCCATGCCGTGAAATCGGCCATGGTTGCAGTGCTGAGCAACACCGGTCGCTCGACAGAAATCGGCTTCTGACTGCAGGATGTCGAAGTGCTGGGTGGTGTCTGGTTGTCGCGCGTTGCGTTTTCGACCAGTGTGGTGAGGCGAGTCTCGCGTGCCTCAGCCGCTTTCATCTGCTGCTGCATCAAGGCGAGCAGGGATACGATTTCAGCACTGATTGGGGAAATTCCAGGTTCCGCCATCACGACAATTCTACAAATTCTACAACTACAAGACACTTCTGCTACACGATCGATCGTTGAAAATAAAAGGCTACAGAATTCACGGACAACTACAGGCTGTCAAATATTCCGTACTCAGGTTTAGTAGTAGTTCACTGCGCCATGTTAGGTTCGCGGTAGACAAGAGACAAGTAGTTTATTGGTTAGAATATACGAAGTAGAAAAACTGACAAGATTCAATCTGTAAACCACAGAGAAGACCTTCAAAGATATGCGTGCGTGCATACACAGTAGAGCTAAAGTTGTACGGCATTACGTCATAACATAACACAGCACTACCGCACCACACAGCATATCTACTCGTTTCAGTTTTTGTTGGCTTTAGTTGAATGGTTTTTCACCCGGAAGATGGGCCATGCCCGAAAATTTGGTGCATTCCATTTATATCTAATATTATTATTATTTTTTGGAAGTGAAGTGAACTTATGCAGCGAAGAGAGCGTAGTTGGTGGGGGGGGGGTTGAAGTGAGGTACCCTGTATTGACTACTTTCTGCTGGGTCTAATCTACTCACCTACTCACCACCTACTCACCACCTACTCGCCTACTCACCTACTCACCTACTCACCTACTCACCTACTCACCTACTCACCTACTCACCTACTATCACTTTAGAAACTGTATCTGTGCTTGGACTCTTGAGGGTGGTGGCGTTCCTATGAATGCTGAAGCTCAGTTTTGACTGGGTTTCATACGAACCATGACATATCTTATGGCAAATGAATACTGCAATGTAGGCTGCAGTACTCTAGGCACTGTAACCTAGGCAAAGGGTTCGTGTATCATTTGCATGTTGTACTGTAGACAATCTGCAGTGACTATCCCTGTGTTGTGCTACTCGCAGGTGTTTGCTGACCTCGGTACTTTACTTGTGGAGAATGCTGTGAAAGGTTACAATGCATCAGCCATGGCATATGGTCAGACTGGCAGTGGTAAGACGTACACCATGATGGGAACCGAGGTATGTATACAATATAACTGACTGATCCTAACCTGTGTGAATTAGATAATTATGTGCCGGAAATGGGCCAGCATAAATACAATGTTAATGGACATTATAGCATAACTTGTAGTTCCTTGGTCCTTTTCTTTACTATAAATAAATACTTTTCACTCACAAAGCAACTCCTCAGTACATGGGGTAGTGGTCTACCAGAGCAATCACACTCACCACCATAGTGGTTTTCCAGAACTGAGTAGGAGCAGGAAACCACACTCGCAGCCACATAATAGATAAATAGCCGAACACATCTAAATCCATCAAAGAACCGCCAACAAGCGGGAGAAAAGGCCGTAAAATCAAGTGAAACAGCATGGCCAGTGGTGAGCGTGGGTGACTGGGCAGCAGTGGAGTGCCTGAAAACAATGACTCCCTACATTCCTAGCCGCGACCGCTCAACCGGGCTAGAGGAAAAGCACGCCTTTCGGCCAAAACCTTTCTATTTCGTCGAGTCATGAATTCCTGCCCCGCCGCCAGTCGGACCCAAGAATAGTGACAGCAAGAAATGGTATGTAATACGTTAATCAACCGGTATTATGTCATAATCATAAGCCACACACATTGGCATAGAATATCAAGAAGAACAGCGGAAGACCCCCATGAAACCAGGGTGGGTGGGCGGGCAACTTCAACTATCACGAGGAAAAACAAAGACCACGATGGCAGGTTCAACGGAGTTGCGCAGAACAAGAGCAAACGCACGAAAATATTTGTGAGTGAAAAATACGTTTTTTGCACTCTTTCGCTACGCTCAGTCGTGAAAAAACAAAACAATCATGTCTTGTTGTGTCTCAAGGGTATGATTTTTCTTCAATTTGTTCACACTTTTCTTTCAACTGTGGAACTTCAGCGAGAGTGAGAAAACAGTAGTCAGGTGACCTAATTTTGATAAAATGAAGACCAAAAAAAAGTATTTGAGCCAGAGCGAGCTAAAACAGGACCACAGCTTTTTGGAAAAAGTCGTGAAAATCGCGATTTGAATTCCGCGGCAAAAAATACAAAGTGCAGTGCAACGCGAGTCGCTGTTGTTTTTCTCCTCGGTCGACTGGACTGTTCCGGATGCATTTCTTTGTTGCAAGTAAGTTTATTTCTTTGAGTTTGTATTCCATGTTGCGCTGAGTCGCCTAAAACTGATCGTCATCGATGTATCGACAGAAGAGCCTAGTAGTAGTAATGTACTGCGGAGCGGAAGAAGACGACATCCTCGCACTCCATGCGCAGGATAAAATATTTTGAGGATTCGGGTCGGAAACAGAAGGAGGACGATGATGGCTACAGCGACGAGTCATTTGAGGGCGACACTTTCATCGAGCGTAAAAGAATTGATGCTGGTAGTCCCACGATCTGCAGTGACGAGGAATTCTACTGGCAAGCGATTGGCATCGACACTGACTTGGGAGGTGAGTCGGCCAATGATTTGGCCAGAATGGACATCGCTGCACATATCCGGGACAATGCCAGTATTGGTTGCAAGTGCAAACACAATCAATGGACTCTACTGCTCCCTCAACTTTCTCAAGTCGATAATTTGAGTACCCTTATGCGGAACATCGCTAGCACGAGCAGTAGGCAGCGAAAGCAGTTCTCTCTGGCGAGCTGAGAAAACCGTGTGCAGATGGGCTTTGGTGTGGGGAATATGAGTGCGACGTCGAGTATGTTGAGGAAGACTGTGTGCAGCAGTGTATACTGTATATCTGAAAGTACAGGTGGAGTGTGATGAAGAGGACGTGGGGTGCCAACTTCTTCGGCCATCTACAGATGTTGACCGTGTTTTCGCTGTCGGTTCTCCAGTGGTGCTCCAAACAGGAGGTATTTCGGACACCCAGCTCAGCTGCCTATACATTTTGGATGTGGCCGAGTATCTGTCAGCTCATGCTATAAGACCCTGGACAGATGAACTGACCCGGAAAGGATAAACCAAGGGACATATCAACTGCGTTCAAAAATGACAATCCCATTGCTGTACGTAGAACTTCACCATTTCAACAGTGCTCTACATAATACCATTGTGGCAACACTTAGACATGTCAGATCAATCCAAAACTTTCAGACAGTGAACATTAGGTGTGTTTGATCATTTTGGAACAAAAAAACTGAAAATCGAATTTTTGGTCTGTGGTCATGTGAGCCAGAGCACGTTAAAATATGACCACAGACCAAAAATTCGATTTTCAGTTTTTTGTTCAAAAATGATCAAACACACCTAAAGTTCACTGTCTGAAAGTTTTGGATTGATCGGACATGTCTAAGTGTTGCTACAATGGGATTATATGCAGCACTGTTGAAATAGTGAAATTCTATGTACACCAATGGGATTGTCATTTTTGCACACAGTTGATGTCCCTTGGTTCATCCTTTCCAGGTCAGTTCCTCTGTCCAGGGTCTTATAGCATGAGCTGACAGGTACTCGGCCACATCCAAAATTTCTATAGGCAGTTGAGCTGGGTGTCCGAAATACCTTCTGTTTGGAGCACCACTGGAGAACCGCCGGCGAAAACACGGTCAACGTCTGTAGATGGCCGAAGAAGTTGGCACTCCACATCCTCTCCATCACACTCCACCTGTACTTTCAGATATACAGTATACACTGCTGCACACAGTCTTCCTCAACATACTCGACGTCGCACTCATATTCCCCGCACCAAAGCCTATCTGCACACGGTTTTCCCCGCTCGCCAGAGAGTACTGCTTTCGCTGCCTACTGCTCGTGCTAGCGATGTTCCGCATAAGGGTACTCAAATTATCGACTTGAGCAAGTTGAGGGAGCAGCAGAGTCCATTGATTGTTTTTGCACTTGCAACCAATACTGGCATTGTCCCGGATATGTGCAGCGATGTCCATTCTGCCCAAAACATCGGCCGACTCACCTCCCAAGTCAGTGTCGATGCCAATCGCTTGCCAGGTTGTCATCAGAGTAGAATTCTTCGTCACTGCAGATCGTGGGACTACCAGCATCAATTCTTTTACGCTCGATGAAAGTGTTGCCCTCAAATGACTCGTCGCGGTAGCCATCATCGTCTTCCTTTTGTTTCCTACCCGAATCCTCAAAATATTTTATCCTGCGCATGGAGTGCGAGGATGTCGTCTTCTTCCGCTCCGCAGTACATTACTACTACTAGGCTCTTCCGTCGATACATCGATGACGATCAGTTTTAAGCAACTCAGCGCAACATGAAATACAAACTCAAACAAATAAACTTACTTGCAACAAAGAAATGCATCCGGAACAGTCCAGTCGACCGAGGAGAAGAACAACAGCGACTCGCGTTGCACTGCACTTCGTATTGTTTTGCCGCGGAATTCAAATCGCGATTATCTCGACATTTTCAAAAAAAGCTGTGGTCATGTTTTAGCGCGCTCTGGCTCATGTTTTAGCGTGCTCTGGCTCATTTATATTCCGCTCAATCTGAGAATTTGCGCAATCTAAGAATTCCCAGATTGTGCAGATCAGGCACGGTAAAATCGCGTGCCTGAGCTTCTGCGAGACTTCTGGGAGCACACCCAAGTACAGTCAACTTCACTAATAACGACTGCGGATATAACGACAATTCGCGAATAACGACAGAATTTCCATGCCCAGAGCAAAGTCCCATCTAACTGTAACACATATAATGAGACTTCGGGTATAACGACACTTCGCGAATAAGGACACTTTTTCTGATGCCCCGCCGGGTGTCGTTATAAGCGAAGTTGACTGTATGTGTGATGCAAAATTCCAGTGTGTGGTTCGTGCAATCTGTGGATTTCTCTCAAAACCTGAAAAGCACTGCGAATTCATGTGGGGCGCAGTCTGCGAGTGCAATCTGTGGATTTTGTTGAAAATCATGAAGAGCACAGCGAATCCATGTGGGGGCACTCTGTGGATTTCGTTGAAAATCATGGAGAGCACAGCGAATCTGTGTGGGGCGCAACCTGCGGCCTGAGTTCCCTGAAAAAACGAGAAGCACAGCGAATCCATGAGGGACGCAATCTGTGGGCGCAATCTGTGAATTTCTTTGGGAAAAAACATGAAGAGCACAGCGAATCCGTTTTCAGCGAAATCGGGCCACAGATTACTTGGATTCACTGTGCTCTTCATGATTTTCAACGAAATCCACAGATTTGCACCCGCACTGCACTCCACATGAATTCGCTGTGCCCTTCAGGTTTTGAGAGAAATCCACAGATTGCACGAACGGCGCATGTCGCGAATCGCGAGAATAATCTAATCAACTCCTTATTTGCGCATCGTGCGCCTAATGATAGCTTGCATAGACCTCGGTCCTACCGGTAGGACCTACCGGTAGGACCATCATACACAGACATGCTGCATGGCCTCTGTTCTAACATTGACCTGAAACTTGACCCTAAACTGTTGCTAAGGGGCTAATGAAGGAGTCCACAAATTTTAGACGTGATCACACAAGGCATACTACGAAATTCTATGGTAACAACCCATGGTAACCATGGAAACGGAGTATGGTATTATGTATTCCACGGCCTTGGCAAGCTAATAAAAACATAAGGACCTCACCACAATTGATGTGCCATGGTCAAAATTCACTTTGGACAGAGTTGCTAGCGCACCGACAGGATTATGTGCGGCCATTTTGACAATCGATAAAATTGCGCATACGCAATGCACTGGACATAGCCTTGCATTTTGCGCCATTACTTTGCCTGACAAAGACCTCATCTCAACAATTGTTTCAAAAAATTTCTCAACCAAAAGCACTTTTGCAGCTCGAATTCTTGGGTCCTACCGGTAGGATCCGTGGTCCTACCGGTAGGACGGTATGCAAGCTATCACTAAATCTGCTATGCGTACTGTACAGTTGTACGCTGTATTTTCTCTTCGGGGTGCTAGTGCCGAATTGGGCCAGCACCGTACTCACCTTTTTTCTGTAGTATTCATATTTGGTTACAGTGTGCTCGTAATGGTGTTGCTGCTGTTTTTCCCCGAAACAAAGAGCTCTTTCCGG